GCCCCGAGGCCCCGCCCCGAGGCCCCGCCCCGAGGCCCCGCCCCGAGGCCCCGCCCCGAGGCCCCCGGGAGCCGCAGTCCCAATCAGGCTATGGAACTTGTAGTTCGCGCTCCTCGCGCCAGCTCCACCTACATCCGGGCGCGAGCTGAAAGGGCCTGCTTCTAATACCATAAACTCTCCAACACCGCCCTCTGCTGGCTTTTGAAGGAAAGGTCAGCCAGACCGGAAGCCGGTTCCGGATGCTCCGGAAGTGAACCTTTCTTTTCCGGGCCGAGCATCTGGGGGTCTGCACGTGGTTGTGTTGCCGGACTTGAACGGGCGCTGATCGAGAAGTTGAGCCGCAATACCAGAGCTAGTGAGCCGAACCGGAGCCATGGAGGGTCAGAGCGTGGAGGAGCTACTGGCAAAGGCGGAGCGGGACGAGGCAGAAAAGCTGCAGCGTATCACGGTGCATAAAGAACTGGAACTGGAGTTCGATTTAGGCAATTTGTTGGCCTCGGACCGGAACCCCCCTACGGGGCTGCGGTGCGCGGGACCCACACTGGAGGCCGAGCTGCGGGGCCTAGCGCGGGACAACACGCAGCTGCTCATCAACCAGCTGTGGCAGCTGCCCACGGAGCGCGTGGAGGAGGCGCTAGTGGCACGGCTGCCCGAGCCCACCACCCGCCTACCTCGCGAGAAGCCGGTGCCCCGGCCGCGGCCGCTTACGCGCTGGCAGCAGTTCGCGCGCCTCAAAGGTATCCGACCCAAGAAGAAGACCAATCTGGTGTGGGACGAGGTGAGCGGCCAATGGCGGCGCCGCTGGGGCTACCAGCGCGCCCGCGACGACACCAAGGAGTGGCTGATCGAGGTGCCTGGCAACGCCGACCCCTTGGAGGACCAGTTCGCCAAGCGGGTTCAGGCCAAGAAGGAACGGGTGGCCAAGAACGAACTGAACCGGCTGCGTAACCTGGCCCGTGCACACAAGATGCAGCTACCCAGTGCGGCCGGCATGCACCCAACTGGGCACCAGAGCAAGGAGGAGCTGGGCCGCGCCATGCAGGTGGCCAAAGTCTCTACCGCTTCTGTGGGACGCTTCCAGGAGCGCCTGCCCAAGGAGAAGGCGCCTAGGGGCACCGGCAAGAAGAGGAAGTTTCAGCCTCTCTTCGGGGACTTTGCAGCCGAGAAGAAGAGCCAGTTGGAACTGCTGCGAGTCATGAACAGCAAAAAGCCTCAGCTGGACGTGACGAGGGCCACCAATAAGCAGATGAGGGAGGAGGACCAGGAGGAGGCTGCCAAGAGGAGAAAAATGAGCCAAAAGGGCAAGAGAAAGGGGGGGCGACAGGGTCCTGGGGGCAAGAGGAAGGGAGGTCCGCCCAGGCAGGGAGGAAAAAGAAAAGGGGGCTTGGGAGGCAAGATGAGTTCTGGGCCACCTGGCTTGGGTGGCAAAAGGAAAGGAGGCCAGCACCAAGGAGGAAAGAGGAGGAAGTAATAGTTTTCACCCTCGGGTCCGCTCTGTAAACCAAGAACTATATGCCAAACGTTAAGTTCTAGTTACAACAGCGGGATGCAGAAGAAAGTGGCAGCTGCCTTCTTTGAACTTGAGGTTGAAGGGACAGGGTTGCCCTCCCCCAAGAGAGTATTTAAGTGTTGAACTGTACCAAGTAGTGTTTTTCCTACAGCCGAGGCTTTGGCTGGAGTTGATGTATTTGAGGGCATAAGAATTAGGGGAAAAAATTGATGGAAAATGGGAATGAGTCTGTTGTCAAAACAGCCTTCCTTTTTCTTTTTAACTTTGGGTATGAGACTAGGGAGAGTTGATCATATATCAGAGACATCATTGATTTGTACATTTCTACATTATTTTTATAGCAGGCTTGTGTATTTTTCAAAGCAGGGGGAAAGGAAAGATTACAAACACTTTCGGAACTGGGCTTTAAAGTAACTATTGAAAAGGTTATTTAATAAAGCTGTGTCTGTATCCAGTGTTGCTTTTAACTTTTTTACTTTTGGTAGAAATCAAGTGAAACCTGTGACCTGGATACCAGGTAATTTACTTCAGAAAAAAGCACAAAGCTGTTTACGGTTTCAGAGAGACCACTTTAGTTAGACAAACTCGTACTTGTTTTGTTATCAAATATATTGAAGATGTTGGGTCGTTATGAGTCCGAATCGACTGGACAGCAATGCTGTTGGTTCTGGTAATGCAACTGATGTCTGTTTGAAAAAAAGATGTTATGCTTTTTTCACACTTCGAAAACATTGGTTTGCTGTAAACGGTAAGTTTGGGCCCCACTAAATAATGGCCAGGAGCCCTGGTGGTGAAGTGGTTAAGAGCTCGGCTGCTAACTAAAAGGTTGGCTAGTTCAAATCCACCAGCCACTCCTTGGAAACCCTATGGGGCAATTCTGCCCTGTCCTGTAGGGTTGCTGTGAGTCAGAACTGACAGTAAGGGGTTTGGTTTTGGTTTTAAATAATCCTCATTAATCCAGAAAATATTTAAATCTTACTGGATATTTATGTCCCCAGTTTTTGGGGATTCTTTGTTTTTTTGTTTTTAGCTTGATGTTAAGTAGGTGACCAGAGAAAGAGACCCACAAAATCTTTAATTGGATCATTGGTATCTTTTGGTTTATCTGTCAGATTGACCTAAGCTGGTTTGATTAGGGGAGTCCCTGGATGGTGTGCTAGACTGCTAACCAGAAGTTTGGAGTTTTGAGGTCACTCAGAGGTACCTCGGAAGAAAAGCCTGGCCATCTACTTCCAAAAATCAGTTATTGAGAACCCTATGAGTCAGAATCAACAGCAGTGGATTTGGGTTTTTTAGGTTTTATGGAACACAGTTCTCTGATGCACAGGGTCACCATGCGTCAGAGTTGACTCCTTGGCAACTGCTGGTGGTGGTGGTGGTTTGATTACACCTGCTGCCGTCAAGTCGATTCCGACTCACAGTGACCCTATTGGACAGAGTGGAACTGCCCGGTAAGGTTTCCCAGGAGCTGCTGTTGGATTTGAACTGCCCACCTTTTGGTTAGCAGTCAAACTATTAACCACTGCGCCACCAGGTGGTTTGATTAGGAGGTAAAATGTTTATAGCTGTCCTGGGACACTTTCCTGTCCATCAGTCTCTAATAAAGATTTGAAAAGAATTCATGGTTGATCCAAACCCAGGGGCCCTTTTTTGTTGCTGTAGAGAGCCACTCTGCTCCTTTAGGTCTGACGGTTGGTAGGAAAAGTGAGAATTCGTTTTATCCTTCACTTTTTCCGTGTTGTCTCTTACAAAGTTACCTTTAGAAAAAATGCAGGTTTCATTATTGCTGTATAACGGGTTATTAAAAACAGACTTTTAAATGTTACTGTCTTCAGATGCTTTCTGATTAAAGCTGGAGATTTTGTTGTTGTTTCCCATCATTTACCAACTTTTCCACTGAGAAATGATATCGATATGGCACTGTTAAGGTCTCTCAGAATACAGTGTGGTTATGGAAAGGTTTAGCTAAGACAAAGTTAAACCATTTAATGGTACCATGAACAACTTCATCAAATACCAAGCAGTTCACAGTATTTGCTAATTTAACATCTTTTAAGTTCTCCCAACTGTCAAGGTTTTTTCGGGTGTTTATTTTAGGCTTTCTAGATTCAGCGGTAGGATTGTACAACACTGGCCCCATAAAATTCGTCTCTTGAGCTTTTTGAAAGATTCTTGTTTACTGATAAAGCAGTTTAAATTCAGTGTCTTAATACGTAATTTAACTCTGAAAAGACTTTAAGAAGGCATGGTAGCATTTTAAAGGATTCAAAGTGGGAAAAGAATACTGTTTATCCACCCTTCCCCAGGTCCGCAACTTGTGAAAAATAGAGAATTTTAAATAGGCTTTCGGAAGTACGGAAGACTTAAAAAGCAGTTTTCTTCTATGGCTATTTCGAAGCTGGGTGATGAGACTTTGCACCTGGGGCAACTGTAGTTTCAACTCCTGGGAAAATGGTTTGGAGCCACGGGGTGGAGGCGGGGGGGGGGGCGCCTAAAGCTGGAGCAGGTGACCTAAGCGGACCAGGTGGGGAAGACGTGGCCCACTGAGCGGCGGGGCAGGAGATTGGCCCGTGGAGGGGGGCGGAAGACGGAGGAGGGGCCCGCGATTGGCCCGCGAGGGAGGAGGGTTAGGGGGCGGGACTCGGGGAGGCGCACTAGCGCAGCCATGGCCGCCGCCTGCAGGGCTCGGGTCGTGCGCTTGCTGAAGGAACTGCAGAGTGCAGCGTGAGTGCTGGGTCGACGGGCGGGCGGGCAGGGGACCAGAGGATCCCGCTGTGCCCACCGCAGCCGCCCTGGGTGTGAGCGGGCATTTTTCCTCCAGTTAGTTTCAAGAACTTGAGGAAGCGGGTCCCGTAATGCGTGCTAACTCCGCGCGGGGCCGTGTGCTTTGCGCGACAGCATTGTCACAAAGTGTGCTATGTGGCCTTGCACGGAGCGGGGAGGCAGGTGTTCCTCTGCTTGTCGTTAGTTAAGGAAACGAAGGCCCTGACAGGATAGGGCCATGTCGTCGCAGGCAGTGGAGGACTTGGCACAGTAACCGAAACAAATTCATCTATTAAGTCATCACATATTTATTGGGTGTATATTATGTGTCGGACCCTGGTGGCTCAGTGGTTAAGTACTGGGCTGCTAACCAACAGGTCGGCAGTTCAAATCCATCCGCTCCTTGGGGCAGCTCTACTCTGCCCTATAGGGTCACTCTGAGTCGGAATCGACTCGAGGGCAGCGGGTTTGCTTTTTGGTATTACATGCTACAGATTACTCTGGATACTGGGGATACGAAGCTGCAAGGCTCTGGAGCAGTTCAAAGTCTGTGGGGGCAGGTCTAATGCAGGCCTGTGCAGAGCGCAGGGGCAGAGGGTGTAGACGGGAAGGATGGACATGAGAAATGAGAGTTACACTCCCCAGGACAGTTCAGGCGGTGCACGTGCACGTTAGGACATGTCTGATACCCCCACTCCAGAAATGCCTGATAAATATTTGTTAACGGTGCTAGTGCACAAGTCAGGCTAGGAAAACATGGAAAAGTTTGCGTTAACAGTTAAGGTAAATGGGAAGGGAAAGAAACTAAAGAGGAATTTCCAGCAGAAGGAAGAGTAGTACCAGAGCCCTCTGGATGGAAATGAACTTGTAGCTCCAGGATCCAAAGGCAGTTAAGGTGTGGGTGTACCTTCATAGGAGGAGGTGAGGGTGGAAAGACAGATGGTAAAAGACCAGCAACAGGAAAATAGCCCACGTTTTTGGGCACTGCATGTGTCAGGCACTGTCCTACACACTTTCCAGGTCCTGCTAATTAATCGTTACAACAGCCCTATGAAATGCTGTGTTATTATTTACATATTACAGATACAGAAAGAAAGGCATGGACAAAAATAATCTGCCCATGTTACACGGCTAAGCAAATGACAGGGCCATAATCTGAACCCAGATATCTGGTTTCACAGTCCTGGTTCTCAGTCTCGGCTAAGGAATTTGAGTTGTGTCCTGTAGATAATGGAAGGGTATTGAAGCAATATTTCTCATGGTGAAACACTAACAACCTGTGATGCCCCGTGGAAAAATAGAATTCCATGGCCAAAGTATTTTGAGAAACTGCATACTTTTGTTTACCCCTCTTGTAGAGTCAGATATATATTAGCACAAGAAGGGCTTTGAAAAGTCCCATTGAAAAAAAAAAAAGTTTAGCTATGGTTAACCTCTTTGTTCTAAACCTGTCATCATTAAAAAAAAAAAAAAAACACCCAACCCATTGCCCTCTAGTCTATTCCGACTCATAGCAACCCCATGTGTTACAGAGTGGAACAGTTTTATAGTGTTTTCCTGGCTGTAATCTTTACAGAAGCAGATTGCCAGACCTTTCTTCTGCAGTGCCACTGGCTCACTGAGTTCCTAGCTGGCTAGGTCCCAACCGCCAACCTTTAGGTTAGTAGTCGGGTGCAAACTGTTTGCGCCACCCAGGGACCATGTGTCATCATAGAACTCTTCTTATCAAGCAGCATCATTAGTATGCCTGGAACCAGTGTAACACAGAACATGCTTTTGGAATTGCTGCATGAGAAAGGAGGGTGGAATGGTTAGAATTATGATAGAAAGAACATTCTATCTATGATAATGGCAGTGTGGAGTATAGAGGAAAGACAAGGTCATTGTCATGCTCCAGCTAAAAGGTGTTGACTTCAGGCACCCAGGCAGAGGCAGCTGGTATAAGGGGTACGTCTTAGTTTGCTAGGGTTGCCATAATAAAATACCACAAAGTCAGTGGCTTTAAAGAACAGAAATTTACTTCCTCACAGTTTTGGAGGCTAGAAGTCCAGATCCAGAGTGTCAGCAGGGCTATGCTCTCTCTGTTTTTAGGGGAAGATCCTTATGTCTTTCAGCTTCTGTAGCCCCAGGTGCTCCTTGGCTTGTAAAAAGATCCTCGCATGCTGTCTTCCGCCAGCCCATGTGTGACTCTACTTCTGTGTCTGTCTGTCTTTTATATAAAATGCCACTCAGGTGGGATTAGGACCTACCCTACTCTGGTATGACCTAGTTTAATTTAACTGATAACACCTGCAAAGAAAAGCCCTATCTCCCCCAAACAAGGTCACATACAGGAGTTAGGACTTAAGCCTGTCTTTTTGAGGGACACAATTCAATCCATGACAAGGTACCCACTGCTGTCTAGTAGATTCCAACTCATAGCGACCCTGTAGGACAGAGTAGAACTGCCCCATAGGGTTACCAAGGCTGTAATCTTTACAGAAGCAGACTGCCACATCTTTCTCCCGCAGAGCAGCTGGTGGGTTCAAACCACTGACCTTTCGGTTAGCAGCCAAGTGCTTAACCACTATGCCACCAGGGCTCCTCTGTGACAGGAACAATCTCAACTCCTCCCTCTGCTTCATCCCTCACATCTAATCAGTTGCAAAATCCTCTTGATTCTAACCAACCCAGGAGGTGGATTTTGTAACTGATTAAATATGAGGGATGAAGCAGAGGGAGGAGTTGAGATTTTTGGCTGGAAAGTCCGGGCAAAGAGTGGGGCCATCTACAAAGATAGGGGTTATAGGAGGGTTAGCTTCAGGGATAACTTCAGTCCTGGGACATTTTGAGCTGGACATCCTGTGGCACATCCTTGTAAAGACCTCCAGTAGGTAACTGAATATATCGTTCTGGAGCTCAGGAATGAGCTTGGAACTCATCCATGTGTATAGAGGACAGTTGAAACCATGCGTGTAGAAGCAAAGGCCTTGGGAAACTGTAAAAGAAGCAAACAGTTGAGGACAAAGTCC